CATTCTCTGCCCAATATATTGTCTTTTCTGGTCTGAGGATTGGCAAACTTTCTCTGTTTTAAAAAACCTAATAGTAAGTATTTTCAGCTTTGTGGCTGATACATTCTTTGTATCGACTATTCAGCTCGAACTAGTTGAGTTACAACAATTCAGTTCTGCCATTGTTTTTCAAAAGAAGCCATGGACAACATGTAAATGAATGAGTAGGGCTGCAAGCCAATAAAATTTTATTTACAAAAACAGGAGGCAGGCCAGTCTTCCCCTGGGGGTTATAATTTGTCAGCCCTGCTTCTGGCCTCTGTAATTCCAGGGGCTGTGGAGACTGGAAGGTGGGGCCAAGAAAAGGAGGTACGATTTGAAACATACACAGGTTACTGAAAGCTCAATGAACAACTGCCATTTGGAGACCTGGTCTTCCATAACCAATATGGCGTGATGAAAAGTTCAGGTGTTACTGATTTACGGGTCATCAGACTCTTGGAATATGAAGAGATTATCTTCTCAGAGACCCTATCACTAGCTGCCTACAACCTCCTAGATTTTCGTATGGGCCGTCAAAAAATGTGGATCTACTGTGTTGGAACACAAGCCCAGTTACCCAATGTCTACCCTATATTGACTGTGTGGGAGATTCCATAATCTCTCTTTCTGAACATTTTTGCATATAAAGATGGAAATTCAGTTTCCAGAGAATCAGTCTCACTTATAAAAACAACAATTAAAACCCTAAGCAATCCTTTATCAAATACTCCTTCAGGTCTGGTGTTCAGTTCTTTAAGTACCTGAGAGCTAACGTTTTTTTATGTCCTTGTGCCATGCAAGGCATTCAGGGTTACACACATTATCTCATGAATTTTTTACACTATCCAGAATGGCAAGGCTACAGTTTTCCTCTCTTATTCAGGAGGAAACGGAGCTCAGAGAGAAAAAGCAATTCACTCAAGGTCAGATTTGCTCAAGTTGGAGCCCACAGCCTCTGCCGTGATCTGGCATGCCTGCTGCCCATCACTGCCAGCTGTCTGCCCCAGGGAGCTAACCCAGTCTGTTATGGTCACTGAAGTACCCTAGATTCTGTCCAAAGTACCTCCTTCTGGACGCAAATGACTCCATTCAGGGTTTGAAAGAAACTCTACCTTTGAGACGTTGGAGATGAAAGGAAAACGTATCCCAAGTAACAAACTGAGGGCTTTGTTAGAACACGTCACACTTAACAAAAAGCAGAGAGTGTTGATCCTTTTTCAACCACACTCTCCCATCATTTTCCGCCTCAACTGTTTGTTAAGCCTAATTAATTGTGATACCGCAACCCATCTGGGCAAGATAAAACAAGAGAGATATATCAGCTTTTAATACTCAGCCCTAAATGGAAGAGTGAATGTCCCATGTCTTCTGTGTCCACCAAATTCAAACCTTTACTCATCAAGCAAGTCTTTGTTAAAAGGCAGCCTTGGTGCAGCCTCAGTCTGCTTTTTATTTAGTTGCATGACTATAGAAATGCCTTGTAGCTAGTATCTTTATTATTCATGGTTTCTGGCAAATTAAGTCTCTAGCCTCTCCAATATCTAGAAGTGGAGGAAGTGTTCAATTCCAAAGAAATTATGCCTTCCCGGCTGTGCTGGCCAGGCAACGATGTGGTTGCCAAGTTCCTTATGAATAGGTAGAGATCTTATTTCACTTATAGTATATGAATAAACAAAACACTCCCGGGGGACGGCCAGGTATTTCGTGTAATGGATATCTCTTGCCCCACCCTCACTCTCCAGAGTGACTGAATCCTCAATTTTCTTACAAACAAGACTACTGAGACTTGAAGTTTCCAGTTCACATGCCAGAAACATGACCAGTACGATGGAGCATTCCCCTATGTGACTTTGAATTTATAATTATGGGACAGCAATACAGGTATTCTAATGATGGGCCTCCTACCCCCATAACTTGAACAAATACTGTTGCAAGATACTTACAAAGATATTTGTGCATCAGTGTTTGTACTTAGCTTGAAAAATAATCATTTAAAGAGCTCTAGATTTGAGATTCTGGAAATGCAGGTAGAGTGGACACTGACTGCATCCCCCCTCCCCGCACTGTTTGGTAGCTTTGTCATCCGGCTGGGGCCAACTTCACTCTTGGCTTCAGAAATGGTGTGGCAACCCCAGGGGCTTAAGCCAACCGATGAAATTTAGGGTTTCTCAATCTTCTTATTCATTATCACTCCCTTAAGGAGCCTTTGAAGATATTTATGTTGTTCGCTAGTCACCTCACCCCCCAAATTCCACAAGTAGACTGTATATCTGTTCATGTATTGTATGTATATCTATGCTTTATACCCAAAGACTAAGTTGTTTTTGTTGTTGTTTTTTTTGCCTCCCTCTCATCCCTAGAAAATGATTTTGGTCTGTTGGGGGCCCTATCATTCCCTTTGAGAATGCAGGAATTATGTTCCCATTCCTCGTGCCCATGAGTGCACGGCAGTAGGGGTGAGACCCTAAACTGACTTGTCAAAGTGCAAACTGGGAAATTATTTTTTGATGGTGGCTTTGAGAAATCCTCTTTCTTTCTAAATGGGTTGATATGTGGACCTAAGTCCTGGAACTACTTTGGCTATCTGCTATCACGAGGAGGAAACCAACTAACACACAGCCGAACAAGATAAGGCTGAAAGAATCGTGGAGGACAACCAGAGTGCCCTGATCAAGCCATACCTGAAGCTTATCCTGTTGCTAAATTTTTCAGTTGTGTCAGAAGTCCCTACTGTTTATTCTGCAGGTTACTTTGAGTTCATTTTCCTATTGCAATAAAAACAGCCCAACTGGTAAAGCAGATAACATTTACTGAATATGTCCTAAAAACTCTCAGCACTGTCAATTAATTCTTGTATCAACATCTATGGTTTGTACTATTATATTTCCCATTTTATAAACAATGAAACTGAAGAATAGGAAAATTAAATAACTTACTCATGACCATACATAGGCAGAGGCAGGATTTGCTCCTATGTCTATTTAACTTGGAGTAAAAGGTATTAACCAGTCTATTTTATGGCCACTCAGGTCTATTTCTTGTTCAAATTTGAAAGACATTAAAGGAAATTTCTTTGCTAACAACTATGTTGTACAATTTAAAAATCTATAGTTCTCTCAAGTTTTAAAATATTTTAAAATTATTTCCAAAGACATGAACTTTGACTACTTAAGACTCAATACTTGTAAAATAGCATCACCGACTCAACAGACACGAATTTGAACAAACTCTGGGAGATAGTGAAGGACAAGGAAGACTAGTGTGCTGCAATCTGTGGGGTTGCAAAGAGTCAGACTCGACAGAGCAACTGAACAGCAAAAGATGGTCATCGTTATTTTAGGTCTTTCTCCTTATTATGAGAGGGTACTGGCTCTGTCACTATCCATTTTATAGAAGAGAAAACCTATAGTTCAGTAGGTTCAAGCTGTAGTTCTGCTTAAAAATAATTACTGATCAAACTTACAAAGAACGTGTGGAGTCCCAGGCTTCTGAAACTGTCATTTTTGAATGGCTCATTACCAGGGAAGAGGTAAGCTCTGAGCCCCTGGAGTCTCGGGGAGGGGGCACAAGGGCTGTATGGTTAACCAGTACTTGTGCTCTCCTCTGGAAACTTTCTCACATGCTAAAAAGTGAAAACATAACTGTATCAGGGTCACTTCTCCTACAGACCAAACTGAACAATGATTTCCCCAAAGAGAAAAAGGCTGAGAGGCAGACACACCTCTGACTCCAAAGAGCCAGGTGATCTGTGTCATGTGACCAGATGGGCTGTCTCCACAGCTCCATAATCCTCTCAAACCGCCACACGCTGCCCTGGTTCTCAACCTGGCTTCTGGAGTCTTTCAAAAATGCAAGACATCTCAGGCACGTTATCCAAAGCAGGAGTCGGGAAAGCGCAAAGTACAACCTTTCTCACATTTTCACAAGGATGCCGTGGATGTCAGGGATGACAAGGCCACGCTGGTTCTTTAGATGCCCACAGTTTGATCCCAGGTGCTGGCCTTTTTCATTTTGCCTGACAGAAGAAAATGGCTTATCAGCACTAGCAGCTTGATCAGATATGGGACTCAATACGATGAGATATGAATTAGAGCCACATTGAGAACATGGTCCGAGTAGGGAGAATCCAAGATCTGCAACAAAGCTGATTCCACATCGCAGGAAAGAAAACGTGATAAACTCCAGGTAGAAGCTCCCTAAATGCAATGTCTATTAAAAAAAAACAAAACACTTCAATGATATTAACAGCCAAAGCACAGGACTTCTAAATCCACAAATGACTGTTTTTTAAACAATGAAGGGAAGCTACAGCCCCAGAAAGACCGAACAAAATTGCAGCATTTTTTGCCTGCAGGACGGGACCTAGCAGAGAAATAAAGAGGCTGTGTTGTGTGACAGGGAGTAAATCCAAACGTTAGCATTCCAACGCTCAGCCAGGCCACCACTCCCCTCCCCAGCCCGTCATCCTCCTGCAAAGTGTTCACAATTTGCTGTCCTTCCTTCCAAAAGCCAGCAGACACAGAATCAGCTTTTCCTGGCTCTGCCTTGCAAGCTGGGGCTGCCTGATGGAAAGGCAAAATCAAAGGGAAGAGTGTGAATCCATAAACTGATGTGAAATCCTTGCTCCCTGAAATGCCTACCTTCACCCCCAATGAAATGAGAAGGAAGGAATCATGTGAATGTCAAAGTTGCTCCCTGAAGAGGCTCTGCTGCAAAGCTACGGCTTTCTGAGCTAAGTGCCCCGCCGGAACACCATCGCTCTGTAACAGATGTCTGCAAAGGCAAGGGTAATCACCGAGGGTGCCCCTTACACACTGGGGGAAATTCACAAGCTTTATCAGGCAGCAGTCACCTACAGTGGCTGAGCTTTTGACCCCAGAGTCAAGCAGTCGGCTAGGAGTTGAAAAAGAAGGCGGCTGGAGGGAGAGGGACAATGAAATCATACAGGTGGAACCGGTTTCCCGCGAGCGCCAGCTCACCTGGTACAGCTCCCGCAGCCCGCACCACGTCCGCAGCACCTGGTGGCAAGCCCGCAGCCTCTCCGTGTACCATCTCCGCAGCGTGGACACGGTCAAGTTCCACACGAAGCGGCTGCCGCTGAAGAGCAGGTCCTCCACTCCGCACATGAACACTGAAGCCATGCCTTCTCCTTCCCCCTGAGCCCGGGGGTGCCCGGCGGGCCCCCGCAGCTGCAGCCCCACAAGCCCGATCGCAGCGGCCCGGCCGCCTGGGCTCCGGACGCCGGCTTCTGCGGGCCGCCGGGGGTCAAGCCTTCCCCCAAACTGGTCTTTCACGGTGCGTCCCGGCCAGGCTCGGGCGGCATGCCCCGGGATTGGGCGCCCGCCAGCCAACGGCTGCGGCGGGCACACAGAAGCCCAGTGTCCACCCCGCCCGCTTGCTGGCAGCGCCGAGCGAGCTGCGCTAAGCTCCGCCAGGCGAGCCCTCGATGCTCCCCGGGCGCGGGAAGCCCGGACCAGCGAGGACTCCCCCTGGCGCTCCCCGAGTGCGCTGGGCAGCGCGGGGAGTGGAGCGACTCTTCGCAGGCAAACAGGAGAGCTGCATCTCAGCGCACTGGGCTCGCACGTCCTGCACACACCACACACACGCGCGTACACACACCAGTCCCAATGTCCGAATCCGCTTTGGGGAGCACCTTACTTTACACTACAGGGTTTTTGCTTGGCATCTGTCTGCACTGATAAATGTCTCCAGGCAGCTAGAGATGCAGGAGGGATAAAAAAAAAAAAATCCTCCGAAGCATCCCTTTGGACCCCACTCCCGGGGGAACAGCCCTGAACGTTTCCTTGGTTGTGCTGAAGACAGAAGGTGAGGATACCAGTCTCAGAGCAACAGTGTGCTCCTGATTGCAGAACCTGCCTTTGCTCCTAACTCGAGGGGTCTCAGAGGAAATAACCCGCATATTGCCAACCAGAGAGTAGGATCCCTCGACCCTGGTATTGTGCTAATTCCAATGCAGCAGTCAGCTCATGAGAAACACAAAGACCGTTCTGGGCCTCTAGCAAATAGTTCTTTGCTGGGAAACAGAAGCACACAAGAGAATCCTTGGTTTGGTTCTGGAAAATTCAGTTTCTGCACAGGTGTAGCAGCCACTGCTAGCACAAACCTGCACAGGCAGATAGTTTATTTTCCACTCATAAGCAAAGAAAGCTGTTCCACCACTTATGAAGTCACCAGATAATGAATGTTTTTGTTTTTTTAAGTTCTCCCCCAGGAAATTGATAGTCCCAAAGGCATTTGGAAAAAAGAGCCGGAGGAGTCCCACATACCACTAGTCTTTATTATTCCTCTGAAATATGTGCAGATTTCAGTCCCAAACAATAGTATAACATTGCTCACAGCAACAGGACTGCAGCAAATTTCAGGGTGGTGGTTTTTCCTGAATCCATCCTGAGGACAATTGTCTGTATTTTACTACTGTTTCACACCTGGGGTGTTATCTTTGCTATTAAGTGGCAGAAAGGTAAAGGTGCCAAAGCCTTTCTCCTGAACTAGTTCAGAAAGCTTCAGAACAGACTATCGACAAGTCAAATCAGCTTTATTTCAGGTTTCAAATGTGCCTTGGGAATCTTAATTCAGGCAAAACTCAACCAGTCATAGAACACAAAAAATTTGTCCTCAAAGTGCCTGGTTTTCAACGTGGTCGTAATCGGGGAACTTTTAAAGGATGTTTCTTTTCTTACCTTTTACTTTGTATTATTACTAATAAAATTGCCTAAGAGTTTTTGTTGAAATAGTTAAGAGGACATTTGCCCTGATGCAAGATTTGCACACCTTTCTTCACAGTAAATCTGCTCTATGTGTTCCTTAGCATTAGCATTTTGACGATATTTTCCAAGATAATGGTCACAGTGTTTACACAGAAAATACTAGGTCGCACTGAGTCAAAAGACAATGAACCAAGTATAGTTTGAAAATGAAATGTCATCCTTCTAATGGAAAACTACTGAACTTCAACATGGGCCTATGAGTATAAGAGGATGATGGTGGTACGTTTTTATTTTTTTTAACAATGCAGTGTGACTGTGTTCTCGGAAATGGGCAGCCAAGGGAATACCAGAATAAAACCTACCACAGGTCAATTATCTCCGTCTCATGACACCATGCTCTCAGAAGAGATGCTCTAGATACACCGTGGCAATTATCTACCTGTGAACTGGCCTAATGTCAGTGGTCAATTCCAACCTCAGTGATTTGCATTCAAGGTTTTCAAAGTCAGTGCTTACGTTATTTTCTAGAAAATGGGGTGAGGTAATACAGGGGTTCTCAAAGGGCAGCCCCGGAACCGGCAGCATCAACATCACCTGGGAACTAGATGCAAGCTCTTGGGCCCCCTCCAGGATCAAGGTGTGGTCAGGGAATCTGAGGTCTCACTTGGCCTCTGGGGGATTCTGACTCTCATGGAAGATGGACAAACACTATTGCAGGGCATGGTAGTTAGGAGCTAAGTCTCCAAAGAGATTAAATCTCTGCTCCTGAAGACCTGTGGCACCCCGCACAACCTCCTTAAAGTCACAAAGCCTCAGTGTCCTCATCTATAAAACAGGGGTAATATTGGAATCTACTACATATCATTTTGGAAAACAGTAAGGAAAACACAGTGGGTTTCCCTGGCGGCTCTGTGGTAAAGAATGTGTGCCAAATCAAGAGACGTAGGTTTGATCCCTGGGTCAGGAAGATCCTCTGGAGAAGAGAACAGCAACCTACTCCAGTATTCTTGCTGGGAAATCCCATGTTCAGAGGAGCCGAGTGGGCTACAATCCATGGGGTCACCAAGTGACAGATGTGACTTAGCGACTAAGCATGCACACAGATGAAGTATGCTATGACTGGCAAAAAATAAGCGCCCAAAGAGAAAAAAATGATCACCACTACCAAAATTAGGAATTGTTTCATTTTTTGGTACTTAGATAAAATGAAAAGAAAGTGAAAGTCATTCAGTCATGTCTGACTCTTTGTGACCCCATGGACTATTATACAGTCCACGGAATTCTCTAGGCCAGAATACTGGAGTGGGTAGCCTTTCCCTTCTCCAGGGATCTTCCCAACCCAGGGATTGAATCCAGTTTTCTGCATCACAGGCAGATTCCTTACCAGCTGAGCCATAGGGAAGCCCAAGAATATTGGAGTGGGTAGCCTATCCCTTGTGCAGTGGATCTTCCTGCCCCAGGAATCGAACCGGGGTCTCCTGCATTGCAGGTGGATTCTTTACCAATTGAGCTATCTGGGAAGCCCCCCTTAGATAAAATAGTACTTGTAAAACATGTTTTAAAAAATTTCTCAAAAAAAAAAAATTTCTCTACTGATTATCTACATCTGGTTTCCTAGATCTTTCCGTATGTTGGAGGTTAAAGTTGGTGGTGATGTGGTTTTGGGGGGTGCTGGTCTTTAACTTCCAAGTTCCCTCAAAAGCTCTTTGAAGCTGGATCTTCCCCATCACACAGCCAACCTTTCCTGGGGAACTGGAGAAGCAGTAGATATTCCAAGCTGGACGGAAGAGAAGAAAAGACATTTTGTGCCCACCAATATAAACATGGATGCTGCTTCTTATCCAAACAGCTTTCTTCTTCTGCAGAAGGAGAAGTTCAAAGATCTAGGTAAAGACCGCTTTGAGAGGGAATGAACAGTAAGTTCTTCACACCAGGGGCTGACAGTGGGTGGCAACTGAACCCAGGTGTGGAGCAGGGGAGAAAAGAATGATCCAAGGGTGGCATCCTTTTGAAAATGGACAAGCCATGCAGGACAAACCAGCTCCCAGACACACACCCTTGAAGCTGGTCTAAAATTTCCTGGGGAAAGGGAGCTAAATCAAGCTGACTTCAAAATTATCTTGCTTTTTTTTTGAAATTTAAGAAGAGGATTTTTTTCCCCCTCTCTAGCAAAAGAGTTCCTTGCAACACACTGTAATTTCCTGCAGCTCTCTCCAGAGGCTTAAAAAGATGCTTCAGGTGACAGCACGGCTCATACTCCTGGGAGCTCTGCTGCAGACGTAAGAGAGAAATTGTCATTATCCCCGAGGCTCCTGTAGGTTCTCCTCTGAGCAATCAGCAGGAAGAAGAGCACAGTGCCAGGAGGCCAGCACAAAACGCCAAGCCCTGTCTCTGGAAAGAGATAAGCAGTTCTATCACAGTGGCTTCCAGAGGTCCCCTCTGCCCATCAAAGAGACCGAGTCCATTGCACGCTGGTGGATATTTTTAAACTTTCGTCTCTCCACAGCTGAAAAGCCAGTGTGGCTGAATTCTGACAGACCATGTCTGACACAGGGCTTGAGGGGGATAAAACACGGTCTGGTTCAGTGGCTCTCAATTAGGGGCAATTTTGCAACCCTGCCTACAATGTCCGGAGGCATTTTGGGGGATGCTACCAGACTCCAGTGGGTAGAGGTCAGAGATGCTGCTCAACAGCCTACAATGCCCAGGGCAGCCCCCACAACAGACAGCTCTCCTGCCTAAAACATCAGTGGTGTGGACACCGAGGAACCTTGGTCGAGTTCAGCCCACACCCTGCCCTTCCTCCTCTCACAGGACTTGTTGGGGGAAACATTCTTCCCTCTTGCTGTTTCCTCCCAAAAAGCAGACTGGAGATGCAACAATCACTCTATAAAGGTTTTCATGCACTCACAAAGAGCTGTAATGTACTCAAAGCCCATTGAGAAGAAACCGGAATGCCATTTCCTATCATTTTCACATAGCCCTTTAAAAAATATTTATCATAAAAATGAGGCATAGTCATTTTAATCATAAGCTATTTATCTTTTGGCATTTTAATTTTTGGCTTTATCATTTCACTTAAATCGCAGGCTCCTTCATAGCATCGAGGGCTTTCTTTGGCACAGGACTAAAACAATCCTCCCTACATCGACCCCAAAGTGGAATGCTGATTCCTCCAGTGGGCCTTGAGTTGCTACAGAAGTCTCTCATCACTCCGACAGTGAGAAAACTGCCCTTTTTCATTCCCCTTTTCTCTGTTGGACTGTTTAACTTTTTGAGGAGTCTCTACAGGTGAGTGGAGGTGGGTGGCTGAGTGGCCCTCCTTAGGCAGGAGTGTACCCACGCACTGGAAAATGTTTAGTGACCTTAGGCTCTGCTCACACACACCAGTAGTGTCCCCAGACATGATGACATCAACAACAGAAAGCACCTGCATACACTTCCAATGATTCCAGGTGGGGTGGCAGCCACGCCCATTCAGAAACCACTGCTGGAAGCTGGGAAACGGCCTTATTCATATTTGTTTCCCTGGTGGATGGCACATAACAGGCAATCAATCAATGGTTATTGAACTAACAAATGAAAGACTATTTGTCTCAAGAGTGAATATAGAAAGAAGTTCATCCAGTCCCAAAATACACACTGTTGTTCATTTAAAAAAAAATGATGTATTGAGTTTGCACTACATATCAGTTGGGGAACTGAGTGCTTAGAACGCACGAGGACAAAACAGAGA